TTAATATAAAAAAAAGTAAAAAGCAAATGAATGTATAAGAATAAGATACGAAAGTAAAAAGAAAGAAAAATATGTTATGGACAAAATAATATTGAAATATAAGTGAATAAATAAAAGACAAATATGCTTGGACATGGAGCAAAAGAACGAATATAAGATGATAGAGAGAGAGAGAGAGAGGAAGGGCGATAATGAAAGAAAGAAAGAAAGAAAGAAAGAAAGAAAGAAAGAAAGAATGAAACTTTACAAAAGGAAGAAAGGGAGAAGATGAACTGCAAGTCTTGTAGAAATAAAGAAATGAAAGAAAAAAGAACCAATGGATTTCAAGAATGAAAGAAAGAAAGAAAATCAGCCTCAAAAGCCAAACAAAGAAAGACAGTAAGAACGAAAGAAAATGCCTTTAAGGAAGGAAAGAAAGAAAGAAAGAAAGAAAGTAAGAAAGAAAGAAAAAAGAATGAACCTCAAGAATCAAAGGATTCTTCCTTTGACTCGTGAGGTTCATTTCTTTCGTTCTTTCTTTCTTAAAAACCCATTATTTTTTCTTTATATATATTTCTCTCTCTATATATATACATTTCTTTATATATATATATATATATATATATATATATATATGAAGAGAGAGAGAGTGAGTTAGAAAATGAAGCATAAGAGTTAAGAACCTCAAGAAAGAAAGAAAGAAAAATAAAGAAAGTAAGAAACATTAACAGAACAAAAAGAAAAGGAACATGACAGAGTTTAAAAATAAATAAATGAATAAAGACGAAAGAAAGATATCATGTAACTGAAAGAAAGAAAGAAAGAAGAAAAAAGAAAGAAAGAAAGAAGAAAAAAAGAAAGAAAAAAGAGAGAAAGAAAGAAGGAAGGAAGGAAGAAAGCGATAAAGATTTAATGCTTTGGTGTTTCGACTCAAGAGAACGATGAATGCAAATGGTATGATAGTTGGCTGGTAAAAATTAAAACAAGAGAATAAGAAGAGTACATCCGCCAACAAAAATAACACGGCGAGTACCTTTTTGCACTCTCACACACGTCCTGCATCTCTCTATAAACCTTCTCCCTCTCACCACTCTCCCTCTCTCTCACACTTTCACATCATCTCTTTCCCCCTCTCTCTTTCACATCTGCTCTTTTTACCTCTCTTTCTCTACCTCTCTCTCAATGTTTCTATACAAAGAGAAATAAAGACGCCAATTCCGGCACAGAAACACCCACTTCTTCATTTGCATATATGTTCTTACAGACGTGAAGTGATTTTTTTTTTATCTTTAACGCTCGGTGCTGGCAAGGAGAGAAGAAAAGAACAGAAAGAAATATTAGAGTTAAAGAGAGAAAGTTTGAAAATAAAGAGAGAGGGGGAGATTACGGTTTGATGAAGGGAGGAGGAAGGGTAAGTAAGACAGAAAGACTATCACCTCACGGGACTGCCTCCATTTATTTATTTATATATACACGGTATTTTTGTTTACTTTTATTTTAAAAAGATAGTGTGAGAAGAGTCTATTTTACCGACACAACTTTCATCCCCATTTCTAAGTTGAATTTACCTACAAACTCAAACTTGCTTTTCGAACGATTCCAGCAAAAAAGAAAGAAAGAAAGAAAGAAAGAAGAACCCCCCCCCAAAAAAAAAACAAGCCTACCTTACAAATACAAATGTATTTTTGATTTTCTCTCTCTTTGACAGAATTCAACACAATTTTTTTCTGCTTTAACATCTTTTTGTTGGAATTTTCGTTTTTGCTTTATTGCCTGTTTTAAAGATTTTTGTAACCCTTATACGTTCTTGTTTTGGGAATGTTTTTTACTACCTTGATTTACAGTGGCTTAAAAATCCTACATACAAACATATAAAAAAAAAAAAAAAACAACCCCTCTTTTCGTCGAGTCGGATATGAGGAAGAACGTTACTTTCTTCTTTCTACCATTGTTACCCACTCCGTTCCTATCTATCCACCCAAATCCTGCTTTCATAGTTTCCTTGTTCACCCGCGTCGTTAACGTAACCTCTTCGTTGATTGACCTCCGGATACGAAACCGAAGCGCGACTTGTCGTCGACACCAGACAGTCGTTCAGAAAAGTAGAAAGAAGAAGTACTTACGGGAACAAATCGCTTCCATAGCATCGCAAGATAGAGAATCTAATTTTGGTCGCTGTACACGTCTCGACAACATTTCTAAATAAGTTTTCTAGACAAGTTTTCTAGATACTTGAAACGCTAACGATTCAACCCGAGCCAGGAGCGAACCTGCGCGAACAACGAGGAAAAAAAACCATTTAAGCGAGCTTGAGTACCAGTCATCAACTTGCAACCGGGTAAGTCAAAGATTTCTCTTACATAATTCTTATATCGCCAATAAAAATTTACGCTTTACTACTTGCTTACGGGTGTGGGAATGTTACAAAATTATATGCATAATTATATATATTCATAAATATATATATATATATATATATATATATATATATATATATATAACATTCATAATAATGACACTCATAATAACAATAATATTCGTATATACATATTTGTATGAGTATTCATTTGAAAAACGAAATTTATTTCTACTTGTATTTATTGCATCATATATAAATATCGGTACACATGTATTGTATGTGTAATCAATCTCCCACACACACATACACGTAAATAAATACACAGTACTATAGTAATATACATGCGTGTATATCAATGAATATATGTTGGTCTCTCTTAATGTATATCACTGTATAATGTATATAGATATATAATAAATACATACCACACACGCACATAGTAGAGTTTTCCTATTGTTTCATTCACACAAACACACACACATACACACGCCCCCCATATATATATATATATATATATATATATATATATATAGACACACATGCAAGCTATATATATATATATATCTATATCTATCTCTCTCTATCTCTCTCTCTCTCTCTCTCTCTATATATATATATATATATATATATATATAAACATACACAAGTTATATATATAAAACACACACAAGGTATGTATATATATATATATATATACATAAAGTGTTGACTTCTATGTTCACTTTTATATTTACACACGCTCTATCTCTGATATTGAGCACTTTATCCTATAAATATAGCACACCTTAAGACTATATTTCTTTTTATATATATATATATATATATATATATATACAGAAAACACACACACAAGCTATATATATATATAAAACACACACAAACTATATAAATATATATATATAACACAAGCCATAAGTCACACACAAGCTATATATATATATATATATATATATATATATATATATATATATATATATATATATATATATATATATTTACACTAAAATAATCCTAAGGAGCCAGGCAAACCTACCTAAGTTTCACCTAAACGGATCTTCAGGGTAAAACTGGATATATGTATAAAAAACACATATATATATATATATATATATATATATATATATATATATATATATATATATATATATATGCTACTTTCTCCGGCATATCAACCATTTACAGGGTTGTAATTTAAAGCCAGAAAATATTTTTAGATTATTTATTTTATTTTTATAAAACTTTCATTGATAATAATGCCTTAATGATACGAGTCTTACTAATTAATCCATTACTAGGTGAGTATTATTTATATCTTTTCCCAAGGGTATTTGCGCGTAAGTGATTGTAACGAATCTTACTAGAATTGAAATTCGCCTTTGCCATTTTCATTTCTGAACCATTGTTCATTAAACCATTCGCACATCCAAACTTACAGCACTTGATATTCGCAAGCGCTCACCGATCTATATATTAATTTCGTGTTTGTGTTAGTGTCATTAGTTGAGTTTTATTTCAAATTTTCTCTGTATAATATTCGATCTGTTTAAATGATATTTACAATGAATTAAGCGCATTGACAAGAAGTTGATTCTACTGTATTGCGCAAAATAAATACTTTCAATCCTTATAAATTTATAGAATCATGAATACGGCAACATCAGAACGCAAACACACACACACACACACACACACACACACACACACACACACACACGTGTGTGTGTGTGTGTGTGTTTGTATTCAAACAGGTTTGGCTAAATAATTTAGACATATTTCGATTAGTTTTCGTTGTGAACCTTTGAAGTTCTGATTTGGTAGCCTTAGAAAATTGATTAAGAAACATGCCAAAATTTTCTTTCAAATAGATTTTATTTTCCCAAGTACTTTCAATCTCATCTGAAATCATCTTCAATGGGTTGCTGCCTAAATATACACAATATGAATAAAGACAAAAGGATAAAAAAATTTTATAAAGACATTTCCTTGTCTTTATTCATCATGTGTATATATTTTATTTATTTAGAAATTTTTGCATATATATATATATATATATATATATACATGCTTAAACGCAATCTTCACACCTGAAGATTACAGTTAAGCATGAAACTGTGACTCCTGGGTGTTGACCTCTGTGTCCACGTATATATATGTCGAATGATATGTCGGTGTATGTATACCGTGTGGACATAGAAATCAGTTTAAGTCTCTGAAGATCGCACTGAATTGTGAACCTGACGGTCAACATGAAGTGTTGATTACCATGTCCTCACATTCTATCTCTACAGTCTATCTCTGTTACTGACTTCCTCCATAAATATAGTAACTTTTAAACAATATACATAGATGCTCACATGCACGCACGTCGTGTCTGAATGGTTAGAATGTTCGCTTTCTGACCATGAAACCTGGGTTCGAATCACACCATGGTCGATCCCAACGTGCGGAACGTTTAAGTTCCTGAAAACCATAGCACGTTAACCCAAGCTTTGTGAGTGAAAGTGGGTTGGCTGAAGTGTTAGGAAGCTGTCGATGGTAGTGCTTGGACTAAGTCATCGTGACCGAGGATCTGAGCGTACTAACTTTGTTCAAACGGATGATTATGAACTCTCTCCCAGAAACTATAACTAAGGCCCCGCCCAGCAAAGTTGCCATAGAAACACAAATAGGGCCAGTGAGTGTATTTAGGTAAGAGTTTTGGCAAATTGTCTATCAACGGTTGTTGTTTTGCTGTAATATATATATATATATATATATATATATATATATATATAAATGAAAACTACAGACACAAGTTCATTTTCTCCATCAAAAGATTCATTTCTGTAGTTCACTGCTACCAGCAAGCAGAAATATTTCTTCTCCTGATGATGGCCATGTTGGCCGAAACTCCTCGAGGAATCTAAATGAAATAATAATAATAAAAACGAAAGAATATTAATCTACAGCCCAGTGTGTCTAAAGATTTTAATTTTTAATATTTTTTATTGTTCAATATATATATATATATATATATATATATATATATATATCTCGAATATTTTTCTTTCTCAAACAAGATTTCTCGAATATTCTTACCGGCTGACGAAAATAAATAAATATGCTGTTTAATAAATGAACGGAGCGTCTACTCAAATACGAGTATCCACTAAAAATAAGATTTAAATAATATATATACATATATATATATATATATATAGAGAGAGAGAGAGAGAGAAAACGGGAGAGAGAGAGTGAGAGAACAACAATTTTTTAGAGTTTAGACAAGTTTTCGAGCCATGAGATTTCTGAAGAAAAAAAAGAATACAATCAGATGTTATTATTTTGTTGTTCATTGCTACTGAATGTAAACCTTTGGCCATTACATTTTCTACCGAAGTATATCGCGTTTTATTTTGATTTCCGCAAAGGAATGAAAAAAAAAAAATAAAAGAAACGACAAATAGAATTTAAATTGTCAGACTTATATCAACATTAATATTAATAAATCAATGAAGAATCAGCAATATTATTGATCCTGATCTGACAACTCGGCTTCAGTTATTTTCCTCCTGCTATAAGGTTGTCTGTACAGGACTAGACTGCCGTCGAGATCTTATCAATTTACAGTAGAGTTGGCTTAGTCGAGGTGGCGTAAGTTCTATACTGACAGATTATTTTTCTCGCACTTCTCCCTTGTGGAACTCCCTTCTGGTCCAATGCTTTTCAGCCAATTTTCATCTGCAAAAATTTAAATGCAATGTCAGTTGCTATCTATTATCTTCCTAATTACACTTTTCTCTTGCTGCTCATTATTAATGTTTCTGTTCCTAATTCTTCCTCACCTTGAAACCCCTTGTGTCGTAGTGGCTTTACTCCCTTGCATGGGGTGAAACCGATTTAAAAAAAAAAAAAAAGTGACCTTAGAAAATGACCAGATCGTATAAAATTTTCAGTAAACATACCAAAATATCAATTCTTCTTCTTCATGGAACTTTGGTTTAGCTATCTCCTTTCATGTGAGATAACTAGTGCAGTGGGTTCAATCTTCACTTTCTCACCACATTTGTGCCCTTCTGTCATACTAAGATAAGCGTACCTATCTCAATACACACACACGCACAAACACAGACACGTGTGTGTGTGTATGTGTGCGTGTATAACCGTATTTGCCGGGCTACAGGACGAGTATTTTATCAAAAAAAAAAAAAAAAAAATTACCGTGTCCAATACAACAGTATCACGTATGAAAAGGACATGAAGACCACGAAAAAAGTGTGGTACACCAGAAATCAGCGCAGACATAGATATTGGCTCTGAAACTAGGACTCTTGGAAGTAAACAAACATGATACGAATAAAAATATCCCTGGAAACTTCACCCAGGAAAAAGAAAATAAGA